AAAGGTGAAGGTAACAGAAAAAGCAATTGAAGTTAAAATCTATTTCATAAAGTACAGTAGAAACCATGTAAAAACATAAAAAAGACTACAAATCTTCTAATGTATCAGTAGAGAAATTTAAAATAAAAGAAAAATGGTTAACATAGGATGCCCATGTAGCTGAATTACTTGGGGTAAATGGAAATAGCATGTTTCCAGATGAAAATACAGGGTAAAGTTTAGAATTTTACAATCACAGGGAGATAGAATAGGAATGCGGGCAAGGGGCTGGATTGTGAAACACATTTTTGGCAGTGTAATTTTTATGTTCATGTTTATTTCTTCCTAATGTTTTATCTTGAACAGTTACACAGTTATAGAAAAATTGGAATGGCATAATACACCATTGTGCCATAGGACATTGATACTCCCTTCGCCCGAACTTACTAAATGCACACATACATTGTATCATCTGCACACGTGTATTTTTAAGCGAATATAAACTAGTTTTATAATAAATCATTATTCTGATAGAAAACAACTTAATTATTATATTTTACAGTTTGAAATAAGTTTGAAGTTGCTCTCAATTTGACCTGAAGTGTTGTAGCAAAACTCCATTTGGATAGTCCTAATGATATAAAGATATGTAATAATGAGTAAAGGTTGTGTTAAAGTTTACTTGTCTAGCATGACAAATACAAATTTTTACAAGTGGATGGTATAATTATATTTTGAAAGAATGATTTAGCTGATTACAGAAAAAAATGTCATAACATTATTTTACTATTTACTTTTATCTTGCAATTCAATTCTTGAATATCCTTTGTTAAATTTTACCTAGACAGTTACAACAAACAAAATTTTACTCTTCTGTAATTTAGCTTTCTTTCAACTTACATTAAATTGAATAAGTATAAAATAAGTAAGTGCTTATTATTTGAATATTCTAAGTGCCAATTATTAGGGTAGTAACAATTTACATTTATGAAGAAGCCAATAATATTCTTCCTAGAGGAATTATTGTTTTTTTCTAAGAAAAACATGGGTACTATAAACTATAAAATAAGTTGCAATATTCACACTGTATGTGGGTGAGGAGTTTGCTTTAGCTTTGGTTCCTCTTTTCCTTTAGGCAGATTATTTTACTTTCCCTTGGTTGAATGTTTTTATTGGGAATGAGCTCTCTGAAAAGGCAATGAAAGTGTGAAGTAAATTCTGCACTTTTTAAGCTAAAATCAGTAATTTGATATTGGTCAAGATGTTAGTATGGTATTAACATGTATAACTTAGATAAATTAGTTAAAATTTAATACTAAACAGGGAAGATAAAGGTTGTGGAATTTCTACTATTACAGAGTGTGTGTGTAAATAAATGCTTATAATTGTTTAATTTCAGCCCTAGAAATTGTACATCCACATGCAAGTGTGTATCCAGATCCTCTGGCTGTGAAGTTCTCCTGTATCAAATGGATTCTCTGACCCGAAGACCTAAATGTGTGTCCCCTAAAATATTGGTCCATGAGACCTAACAGGCGGTAAGGATTCAACGAAACAGGAAGAGTGATGAAATTTAGGACATTTTTGACTGTTTTAAATGATTACTTATCAATCCACTGGGTTAAAGAGGAAGGATATGCATTTCTTCTTTATCAATACAGCCTTAATAAGAAACACCTTCCTGTGCATAATTTTTAATGTAATTTTATTTCATATTACTATACTAAAGAAATGATAATATTTTAACTATCTTAAAAAATTCAAGATTTATCAGAGATTATTTTTTCTTGATTAACTAATTTACTTTTTCTCCATATAGTGGATCCAAGAAGTAAACATTGATAAAGAACAGAGCTTCAGATGAGGTTCATTTCTTTTTAAATGCAGGCAAAGGGGTAAGGTATATAATTAAGAAAGCTGTTCTCTGGATAGTATCCATGAGAGAGCTAATCTTGGCCAATTTAATATTTAATGCCTCAAGACATTAATTTTCTTGTAATAGTACCTTTTCAAATTTTATAAATTTACTACAACATTTTCTTAAACTGAATATATAAAGATGTAGAAAACTGAAATTGTGCTTCTGTAGAGCCTTGATCTTTATGAACTGACAGGGTCGATGTTTTTTGTTTCACACTTTCTAATTCACTCACTAAACACCCACTGATTGAATAATTATATCCAAGTACATTGTTGTTAGTATAACCATTTTCTTTCCTAAATTTCATGACTTTAATATGAAAATTTTTTTTCATTTTTTTTTTCTTTTTATTTTTCTCGGAAGCAATGTACAGATCTTGGCTATGTGAAGGAAGAGTAAAATCATCCCACAATAACATCAGAGATTCTTATTAAATATTGCATGGGGAAGAGGGATGGGAGTGTGGTCAGAGTGAGTCAAGGAGAGACAGAGATGCAGGCTTCCAATTATAAAATAAATTAGCCATGGGATGAGAGTAAAGTATATGGAATATAATAAATGGTATTGTGGAATACTTGTATATTATCTACAAATAGTATCTACATTTTTCATGGTGGAAAAAAAAAGTATATAGCAAAGGTATAGCAAAGGTTAGCATTGTCAGATCACTATGTTGTATACTGAAAACAATATAAAGTGTACACTAACTATATTTTAACTAAGTAAGGCTAAGAAGCAGTAGCCCTCAGGTAGCTATTCATGATTTTATTAGTTTTATGTAATATATAAGAAATAGTAAAATTTTTTAAAAGATAGACATCCAGAATAATTTCTGCAGTTTTCAAAAGACAGACAGACAGGCTGGCAGAAAGGCTGTGAGAAGGGAAGATACCAAGAAAGAATAGAAAGGAAAAGAAAAGAAGGAAGGATATAAAGAAATTCTGCATTACAAAAAACATGATTAATAATAATTTGATTCATCTGTATAAATAAATCTTTACAGGTAATTTGTATCATTTATATTATACATTTAATCTTACCAAATATATTGTTAATAATTTCCAGTAGATAAAATAAGTATGGAGGTTGAACCACTGAAAATGTTTATATTTTATTTTATAATCATCTTACTGTTTCTCTATTATGCACATGTGGTATTTAAAAATACAGTTTTCAAAGTGACAGAAGCATATATAGAAGTAATGATTTTTAGACCTTCAGTTAAAATTATTGTAAGTACAAATGCAATTCAAAAATTAAATTGTCTTACTAAGAACAAGGGCTTCAATCATTTAAAATTTTGTACCTTCATATACCCTTGAATAATTACACATATGATGACATTTGTTTTAAGGACAATGGGATTTGAATATCATGTGAATATATTTGTTCCTAGTTTCACTCACATTTAGACACTACTGACCTAGTTTTATTTGATTTCTTAATTTAATTTTTTAAAGAAATATTGATGAGATTCAATATTATGTTGGTTTCACAGGAACACCCAAGTGACCCAAAAATTGTACCCATGACCAAATGTTCACCACGGTGAGCGCAGCTCCTGTGTCCCCACGGAATTATATGACAGTATTGTGAACTCTACTGCCTGTGCCGTGCCTCCATCTCTCTGATTAAATTATCTTAATATTAAAAGTTTGTACATCTCGTCCTACACATATTTACATCTGCATCGCCAGTGGTAGGCAGCAGTCTGTTCTCTGTGTTTACGAGTCTATTTGTTTTCTTAGTTTACGTTTTATAAGATAATTAAAATTTTTAAAAAATACAGTCATTCTGGACATGTTAAAATTCATACTTCAATGAATAGGATTCTAATTTATAAAAGCATTGCCATATTTATTCTCACCAATACATTTGTGTAAGCTGGAGACACACTATTCATTATTTTCCACACAAAAATTTTTGGTAATTTTTCTTTTTTATATGTCTGCTCTTTGCTACCAGCTATTAAAATATATACCAGTATTTATTTATTATTGTTTGTGGCCTTTTTGTGGTACATATAAGTGAAATCAGGGGGTAGGAGGAGGACTGAAAAAGGTGAAGGGGATACAAAGTTACAAACCTCAAATTATAAAATGAATTATTTATAGGAATGGAAGTGCAACATAGAAAATATGACCAATAATATAGTAATATTGGGGCAACAGGGGGATCTACATTTACTCCGGCAAGCACCTTGCATTTGTGTAATTATTGACTCACTTTGTTATACATCTAATATGAACATAATATTGTATAAAAAGTATATTGCAAAAAATATATATACCTTGGAAAATACATAGCTTCTGCCTTAGAGGTGCTTAGAATTGAGATAGTGCATAAAATTATACACACTGAGATACTACAAAGCAAAATAAGTAAATGACCAAGTAGGTGTGAAGAAAACACAGGTAGCTCTCACTGAATTGTGATACCCCAAACACTGGGAAAAGGTCCACAATGATTTTTACTGAGAAGGTGAATTGTTAAATGTCTCCTCAGGGTCTCAGAGGGCTTCCTTAGTGAGAGGATCTGAAGACGAATATTGAAAGAAACAGCATGAAATCAGAAGATGATTTTAACAACAGTTGTAATAATTGGAAACTTCAATTAAATAAGACTAACATATTCATCACCAACCACACACAGTGTTTTTCAAATTTCTAATAAATAGTTCCCTTGTTTTTTTCTCTAACCTGTGCTTGTTGGCTTCCTTCCTTCCAGAGAGACCCCTGTGGAGAGAGGGGGTGGACGGCTACAATCTCACCCCCGTGACTCACTTTATCCTCATGGGGCTCTCTGACCTCCCCGAGGTTCGCTATCCTCTGTTTGTGGTCTTTGCCATCACCTACCAGGTCATCTTGGTGGGAAACGGGGCCATTCTCTTGGCCATCAGTACAGAGAAGAAGCTGCGCACACCCATGTATTATTTCTGGCCAATCTGTCCCTCTTAGACATATTCTGCCCATCAGCTACCGTCCCCAAGATGCTGGACAACCTCTTGACTGGGAATAACAGCATTTCCCTTCTGGGCTCTGCTTTGCAGCTTTATTTCCTGGTGGCCCTGACGGGGACTGAAGTCTTCCTTCTCGCTGTCATGGCTTATGACCGGTACGTGGCCATCTGCTTCCCCCTCTGTTACACCTTCATCATGACAAAGGGTCACTGTGCACAGCTAGCATCTGGGACCTGGGCAACAGGATTTCTCAATTCCCTCCTCCACACAGTGTCCACCTTCCGACTGTCCTTCTGCAAGTCCAATCGGGTTAACCAGTACTACTGTGACATCCCCCCAGTGGTGGCCCTCTCCTGCTCATCCACGTACATGGCAGAAATGCTCGTTTTCATCGTAGGAAGTATCTTGGCAATCAGTGCCTTCCTAATTACCATCATCTCTTACATTTACATCATATCCACCATCCTAAAGATCCAGTCAGTGGAAGGGAAGCAGAAAGCCTTCTCCACATGTGTAGGTTATAAACTACTAACTAACTTGCGCACACATATTAACATAATAGGCATATGGTGACATAAACTAAGCAAATCTATAATTACCAGCCATTTCCAGTGAAGCCAAGAAAACCAGTTAGGCACCCTAGGCATTTGTGAAAATTTGTCTATAATATGATGGATATTGTCCAACTCTACTTGAACTGTCTGAGAGAAATCAGACAAATTAAAGCAACCCATTTCTGGGATCTGTTCACATCCCATATGTTCTTTTAACCGTAGATAGTCTATAGTCATAAGATTTTGGAGAAGGTCCACAATGATTTTTACTGAGAAGGTGAATTGTTAAATGTCTCCTCAGGGTCTCAGAGGGCTTCCTTAGTGAGAGGATCTGAAGACGAATATTGAAAGAAACAGCATGAAATCAGAAGATGATTTTAACAACAGTTGTAATAATTGGAAACTTCAATTAAATAAGACTAACATATTCATCACCAACCACACACAGTGTTTTTCAAATTTCTAATAAATAGTTACCTTGATTTTTCTCTAACCTGTGCTTGTTGACTTCCTTCCCTCCAGAAAGACCCCTGTGGAGAGAGGGGATAGACAGCTACAATCTCATCCCCGTGACTCACTTTATCCTCACGGGGCTCTCTGACCTCCCCGAGGTGCGCTGTCCTCTCTCTGTGGTCTTTGCCGTCACCCACCAGGTCACCTTGGTGGGAAACGGGGCCATTCTCTTGGCCATCGGAATGGAGAAGAGGCTGCACACACCCATGTATTACTTCCTGACCAATCTGTCCCTCTTAGACATATTCTGCCCATCAGCTACCGTCCCCAGGATGCTGGACAATCTCCTGACTGGGAATCACAGCATTTCCTTCCTGGGCTGTGCTTTGCAGCTTTATTTCCTGGTGGCCCTGACGGGGACTGAGGTCTTCCTTCTCGCTGCCATGGCTTATGACCGCTACGTGGCCATCTGCTTCCCCATGCATTACACCTTCATCATGACAAAGGGTCACTGTGCACAGATAGAAGCTGGGACCTGGGCAACAGGGTTTCTCAATTCCCTCCTCCACACAGTGTCCACCTTCCGACTGTCTTTCTGCAAGTCCAATCGGGTTAACCAGTACTACTGTGACATCCCCCAACTGGTGGCTCTCTCCTGCTCATCCACCTACATGGCAGAAATGCTCATTTTCATCATAGGAAGTATCTTGGCAATCAGTGCCTTCCTAATTACCATCATCTCTTACATTTACATCATATCCACCATCCTAAAGATCCAGTCGGTGGAAGAGAAGTGCAAAGCCTTCTCCACATGTGCCTCCCACCTCCTGGTGTCTGTTCTATGGCACAGCCATCTTCACCTACATTCGTCCCTCTTCACGTCACCACTCCCCAGACAGGGACAGACTCATCGCCATGCTCTACTGGGTTCTCACCCCAATGCCAAACCCCATGACCTAGAGCTTGAGGAACACAGAGGTGAAAGGGGCACTCGGCAGGGTCTTATGTCATAGACCATGTTTACATTAATTGTAGCACTAACAGAATGAGTCAATATTCATTTTAGAATACATTTATAAGAAAAATTTATAGAAAACATTTTTTGACAGAATAAATACCTACATATACACTGTATTTTATAAACATGCAAACATACAGATAACTTTAATCATACCTATCTGTACGGTTATATGTCTATCTCTCTCAAAGGGGAACTTAATAATGGATTGTCCCCAAACGGACATTTCCGTAAGTAGCATAGAACATTAATTACACTATTATAGGAGGTATAACATGAGCCCGTCTTTAAGTTAACTTGGGTCTTTGTTCATGTCTGTATCCATATCTGTAGCTATACCTATACTATCTTTATGTTTATATCCACTTTAAATCTATATCTAAACATCTGTCCATGATGTTTGTTTTATTTCTTTGCCTCGTGATAGACTGCCTATGCTGATAAGTCTCTAGAATATTATCACTTCCCTTATCCTGTCTTTCAATTTTGGCTTCTACTTATTATATAGATCTCTGCTTTTCTCCTTTTTAAGATAACCCTGTCCATTCTCAGGACTACCTGTCTCTCCAAGAAGAGGACTTACTCTCTCTATGTCTGATTTAGTTATGTAATTCAGCTCACTATATTATGGTCTTCTTAACTTTATATTTTCAAAACTGAAAGCAACATCTTCTAACACACACACATACACACACACACACACGCACACAAACACACACACACACCTTATCAGCTGCCATGTATTTTTGGTACCAGTTGTTCCCAATTACAGAGACTAAAATATCTGAAATTGTACTATGCCTCAAAGACTAGCCCTTCTGTTCAGTGTGATTAGAGAGCTGCTGTTTCTGATGGGATGGTGCACCTTTCTTACTTCATACCATTTCCCTGTCATCTCTAGATATGGGAATGTTTTCTCTGTTCACTAGCACTTACATGATTCTTTGCTTTATCTACAATCATGGATCATTTTCTCCAGAGGTTTCCTCAACCTGGGGATCCCAGTTACCTTCCAGGTTTAGTCTCCAGTCAGATGGTCTCTCTCTGCATTTCCAATTCTCTTTTCACTTTGGGATTCAATATCTTCTCTCCTCTTCTTTTCTGTGTTCTGTCCTTCCTTTATCAATACTGAATTCTTACATTATTCAAAGACATCCTGTTAACTCCTTCTCTTGACTGTAATTAATTTTCCAAGTCATTTTCAAATCTTTATGAAATGATTGCCTCATCATATGTACTTGTACCACATCAGCTAGGCTTTGTGCACGTCTCCTACCATACTTCGGAAACAATTCATTTCCCAAAGCTCAGCATTGCCCTGAAATACATCGTCTGCAGCATTCCAGAGCTCTTCATAGTAGTGGCAGGTCAACTGCCTGTCATTTGATTTTATACAGTGGGAAAATCCATAGCGTCCTGAGGAATGAAATAAAGTAATAGTACTACTTTAGTATTATAAATCTTATATTTGTTTTGTTTTCTCATTTTATTTCCTATCATAGAGTTTGCATGTGGTATGAAGGAATCCATTCCACATTGTTTAAATGCATGAATATTTTTAAATATATTGCCATATAAAATTGAATAAAACCTTAAAAACTCAACCATTTGCTTATTTTAGTTTCCAAATACTCAAATAGTTGTTTAATATTTCACCCCTTATTAGAATGTAACACTCTTAGAACAACCACTCTGGAATCTAATTCTGATTTATCTTCTTGTCTTTGAAATTTAAGATCATCTGAGAAAAGTTGACCCAATTAGTTGACAAATTCCTGAACAAATTCTCATTTGACATTTCTGGCACTTGAACAGCCATGTGGATACATATTCAAGTGTCAAACAGTCCCCCTGTCAATAACAAGACACACTAGACAGTTGATGAATTCTTTGTTTCAGTAACTATTATGTATCTATAATACGGCATCTTATGTTGACTACTTTAAAACTAGACTGACAGCAACCATAATACATGAAAGAGGCATCAGGAAGTCAGAAATATAAAAAGAATAAACCTGCTGGCAGTGGGGTATGTAGGACTCAGCAACAAT